ACACTTGCACTTATGTTTGGTCTGTATGAGGATTTATCCTGCCTTCTCCACAAGCATGTCAGTGCTCCAGAGTTTGCAACCCGCAGCGTGGCAGCAGTGCTTGCAGGGACAACAGAGGCAATTTTCACTCCACTGGAAAGAGTTCAGACATTGCTTCAAGACCACAAGCATCATGACAAATTTACCAACACTTACCAGGCTTTCAAAGCTCTTAAATGTCATGGAATTGGAGAGTATTATCGAGGCTTGGTGCCCATTCTTTTCCGTAATGGACTCAGCAATGTCTTTTTTTTCGGCCTCCGAGGTCCCATTAAGGAGCATCTGCCTACCGCAACAACTCACAGTGCTCATTTGGTCAATGATTTTATCTGTGGAGGTCTGTTGGGTGCCATGTTGGGATTCTTGTTTTTTCCAATTAATGTTGTAAAAACTCGCATACAGTCTCAGATTGGTGGAGAATTTCAGTCTTTCCCCAAGGTTTTCCAAAAAATCTGGCTGGAACGAGACAGAAAACTGATAAATCTTTTCAGAGGTGCCCATCTGAATTATCATCGGTCCCTTATCTCTTGGGGCATAATCAATGCAACTTATGAGTTCTTGTTAAAGGTTATATGAAAACACCATCAATTAAGTGCCATTTTTCAACTGAACAGACCTTCTAAGAACTCAGAATGTAGTTTGGCCTCTTTCTTAGTTGGCCAAATACAAGTTGGTGTCTTAACTCCAGGCCACAGTGAGTTATGGGTAAAGCTGTTTTCCTTAAGCATCAACAAAACAATGAAAGGTTCCAATAGGAATATATGGGGGGTTTTGTTTGTTTTGTTTTGTTTTTAATCATTACCTAAGAGCTTTAGGCTATTTGCCTGGTAAATAGCTGTCTATCTGATGGCCTTTGACAGGGAACCTAATCCCCAAGATAGGATTCTTTTCTTCAAATCAGTCTTGAAATCTTCTGCATTGAAACAGAAGTGTTTGTGACCGGCCAGAGAGAAGGTCCTCAAGGGCCAGCCCCTCAGGGCTTCTCAGGCTTACTTTCTTACTCCATTGTTTGCTTCTCCGCCCTCAGGAGCAGCTGTAGAGGGTAGTCTTCATTAACCTCAAGCATATGACAAAGGAGCAGGACAGAGCAGAACAGCAGCTTATACGGTATAGGCTTTTCATGATAAATTGCTTGTATTCATTTTGAAACTAAGCATCTATTCAATAGTCATTCTACTATTTCTATTTAGATAGGGTAGATCAAGGAGCTATGAAAGTTTGCATTTTGCTTTCTAGGTTTGAAAGTTTTCTGTTTGATTTTGACTGTGACCTTCACCCCTTCCAAAATATCCTTATGTTAATTTCACTTATTTCATTGCCAAAAGATGAAGGGACTTAAATTTTGTTGAAAGTGTTCCATCCTGTTAAGAAGTTTTCATATTAATTGTGTATAGATAAAATTCTGTTTAGCTTTGTTTCTTTGTATTGTTGGTGCCATCTCAGCAAAGGTCTATGGTTATTTTTCCCCTTGAGTAGGAGCTGGTCATATTCAAGCGTCCTGTTCTCTTAAAACTCTCCTTTTAAAAAATAAACACTTCCATAACATTTTGTTTTGGATGTCTATTAATGCAATCCCACTTTCCCCCGCTAGTTTCTAAATGTTACAGAGTGGGGGAAAAGGCTTAGGATCGTTTTCACCCCACAGCGTTGGCTGTTTTTTATTTTACTCTTGGAAGTAGAGACTTCATTAGGGTTTTGAGGTTTTGGGAACCCAGTTTTACCATTGTGTCAGTAAAAGATAGTTTGAGAGCATATGATCTAAATAAACATGTTTGAAGGGTTAGTTTGAATTTTAAAAGTAGATAATAGCCAAATAGCATTCTTATCCCTTAACAGACGAAAACTTCTTTGTCAAAGGAATTGGAAAATGTGAAAATATTTTTTCCAGATAAAGCAAAATGATTCATATGCCACTTCCAACTGACTGTGAAATATAAGAGACAGACTGAAAAAGTAGATTATGAATTCTAAAACCCTTTCTGTAAATATGTAGTTAAAGATTGATTTCCAACATCTGACATGATGACAGGTTTCACGTTAACCAGTTTTTCTTCTTTCTGGGTGATTGCATGTGAGTATGTGCACATACTGACCAAAATAAAATCAGGGCCTCAACTTGGTAGTTTACTGAAAGTTTCTGGGCAAATAGTTCATAAAAGCTGTTTACCTCTAAATGCAGTGTGGCTGGTTAAAAGCAGTGAACATCCTTCTTCCAGCTGTACAGGATGAAGCATATTAAGTGTTAGCCAGGCAGTAATGAAGCTAAGTAGCCATACAGCAGCTCTGACAATGTTGTGCTGGATATAGCAGTTTACTTTAAGGTACAGATGTAAGCATTTAAAAATAACAATAATTTGGCACCAAATAAATATGAGTAGCATCCTTTGGCCTATTAGAGTCAGGATTTGAAGGGAGTTGAGTTTGAGAAATGAATAAATAAAGGTGCCTTGGTGCCTGACTCCTTCATTCCTGTATGTGACTCTGAGCACTCATAGTTGTGTCCAGCGACTCAGCACAGGGCAGGTGGGTTAGCCTGGGGTTCTACCTTGGCCCAGGGAAGAGACACTGTTGGGCCTTTCATTTTGTTGGGCTTCCTTTTGTCTTTACACTCCATACAGGTGGTAGAAATCTAAGTTCTAAAGCACTTTTGTGAAATAAAAGCTAAGTGAGAATTCTAAGGAAAATGCTTTGGTTAGTGCTGTCTCAAATAAGTGGCATTTAAAAACAATTATTAATAAATATTTGTAATGGTTTTAACTCGGTATTTTTTTTTTATTTCTTTGTCACTCTTTACAGCATTTGAAGACCAAACTGCAAATACATTACCGGGGATGGTTTTGTGTTGTCCTATAAACTTCTTAAATTTGACAAAGAATTCAACAGAACTTGTAACTGACAGCTTTGTCTGAACTTGAAGTCAAAATGTGTTGTTAATAAGAGATTTCTAACTATTGTTTTTACCTTCAGTGTGAACTAGCGTGGTAGTAATTTTGAAAAGGCAGGGTCGAGTGCGGTGGCTCCTGCCTGTAATCCCAGCACTTTGGGAAGCTGAGGTGGGCGGATCACTTGAGGTCAGGAGTTGGAGACCAGCCTGGCCAACATGGCGAAACCCTGTCTTTACTGAAAATATAAAAAATTCGCCAGGCACAGTGGCACACGCCTGTGATTCCAGCTACTCGGGAGGCTGAGGCAGGAGAATTGCTTGAACCCAGGAGGTGAAGGTTGCAGTGAGCTGAGATCATGCCACTCCACTCCAGCCTGAGCTATAGACTGAGACTCTGACTCAAAAAAAAATGTGGAAAGGCAAACATGATTGAATATCTGAAAAGCTTTAAAAGTGGCCTTTCTGTTACATGTGTGGCACAAATGGCTCATGAGCGCAGGACACTTACGGTCTTGTGTCCTATACTTCATGTTTGATGCCACCAGAAATGTGTTGAATTCTGTATTTAACACACTTAGAGTGGTATGAGCCCTCAGGACTGCACCACAGAGTAAACAACCTTTATATGGTGGCGAATATGTGTGTCTTTCTTGTTTCATTTGTGGTTGGGGACAGAATCCATGTTTTTGTCTAAATAATCGATACTCAACAAGATTGGCTGTATAATCACCGGCTATATTGTGAACTGTGCAGTACAACAGAGTCCTGTATATATAATTACCTTCAGATACCTGAAATTCCTAAGCTCAGTTACAATGTAATACTCAATATAAGGCTGTGCAAACAACATATAAGGGAATAATGGTCATTGACGGGATCTAGAGGGCTTTGAGTGAAGCCATTCAGGTTGAAGTAACACTGGTTTAGGGTAGATGAAGTCGAGTGAGGGGTATGCAGTCAGAAAGGGTGGACAGGAGATGACAATTGAAGAAAGGGTAAGCACTCAAACTTCATTTCTTTAAAATTAAAATATTTCTTATGTGCAAATGCATATCAAAGACTTGAACAGACATTCTCTTGAAATCGGGGAATTTTTAGTTTTTAATGCTGTCTTTGTTTAATATTAAATATGTGTTGCCTAATGGCTCCCAAAGGGTGTGGGAGTCTATAAATGTTCCTCTGAAAGGTTCATTATTAAAAGTGGTTAAGCGCACAATGCTATTTTTGTTTCATAGTTTGAGTTTTATGACCATGTGAGTTTAAATGAAATCTGTTAAATGTTTCAGAGTTAACACTTTTTTTTTGATAATTTGGAATAAAGTTTGTTTTTTAAGCCCCTCTTTTTGGTCTCCTCTTATGGTTGAGTAGTTCCTTATTACCAGCACGCTCCTTTTCTGTGGTATTAGTAATCTGTTAGTCTTTTTATTCAGAAAACATTTAGCACACTACCTTGACTAAACTTAACCTGGGGGTGTTGCAAGTAAAATTCCTTTGTTTATCCGTCTTATTGGTCCAAGAGAGGTTTCATGTAAGTTTTATTTTCCAGGTAGCTTAACTGCAAAGCTTTTTTTATTTTTTTTGACAGGGTCTCTGTTGCCTGGGCTGGAGTGCAGTGGCATGATCATGGCTCACTGTAGCCTCGACTTCCTGGGCTCAAGTGATCCTTCTGCCTCAGCCTCCTGAGTAGCTGGGACTACAGGCACGTGCCACCATGCTCAGCTAATGTTTGTAGAGATGGTGTTTTGCCATGTTGCCCAGGCTAGTCTTGAACTCCTGGGCTCGAGCAATCTGCCCACCTTGGCCTCTCAAAGGGCTGGAATTATAGGCGTGAGCCACTGTGCCCATCCGCATTTTATTTCTTAAAGGTCTTCCTCATATGTTGTAAACTTCCCTACTGAGTATAAACTTCCTTGATTCAGCTTATCAGGACTTTCTGTTGTAATAGAGTAGCCTCATGTAATGTTTACTCCCAAGTTAAATGGTCTGGATATCTGCTTTTTTCAGTTTTTTTTTTTAAATACCTACTTTTGCCTTCAGAGCTGCTCCTTTCTGTTGTGGCTCATTGGTTAGGAGAGTGTGAAGTTTTAGCCATGTTGAGGTTGCCTGATAAGAACAGCAAAGTAAAGGAGCAGTTGCTTCTAAAAGTCCTGTTTGCAATTGAAATTCATCATAAAGAGAAAGTGCAATATCCTGAACTTGTAAAGTTGGAATTCATTTAAAAAATGGTGTTTAATAATCACATGATCTGATGAAATGTTTTAATCCACCTCTAGCAGTCATTGTAGAGTTCTAGACCTCCAGAGTGAGCAATAGGCCTGACCAGGAAGAGCCCTGGGGAACCTCCGCATAACTACAGAGCACTCCCAATCCCCGAGGGGCTGACTCCCATCTTACATCTATTTAGCTGAAGTTTCCAACTAGGGAATTTTTTTCTCCAAAAGAGCATAGCTGATTTTAAAGTAGAAATTGAAGGTAAAATAGGATTTATCTCAGTTCTCATATCCTGGCAATATTCATATTGTCAATTTTTTTTTTTTTTTTTTTTTTTTTTGAGACATGGTCTTACTCTGTCACCCAGGCTGGAGTGCAGTGGCAAAATCTCGGCTCACTGCAACCTCTGCCTCCCAGGTTCAAGTGATTCTCCTGCCTCAGCTTCCTGAATAGCTGGGATTACAGGCACCCACCACCACACTAAGCTAATTTTTGTGTTTTTTCCAGTAGAGGCGGGTTTCACCACCTTGGCCAGGCTGATCTCAAACTTCTGACCTCAAGTGATCCACATGCCTCAGCCTCCCAAAGTGCTGGGAATAGAGGCGTAAGCTACCGTGCCCAACCATCAGTAATTTTTTTAAATGTCACTTCAATAAATGCCTTTCCTCTGCCATAAAGACCAAACACCTTGCCTCCCTTACTCTTGTGTCTAGCTAAACTGCCCTGCTGTCTCTGCACTCCAGCCACTGGCACTTCCTAATTACTTGGGCCACACTGTATTCATCTTGCTCCCAGCCTCTACCCATGCAGTTGCCCTCTGCCCTCAGCACTCCCTTTCTCTACTTCATTTATCAACTCTGTCCTTCAGATCTCGGTTCAAATGTCACTTCCTTGGGGAAGCTGGCTTACACTCTCAGGACTTGCTTCGGTTCCGCCTGTCAGGCTCTTCTTATGTCACCATGTTTCTATTTTTCACAGCACTTACCTGTTTTAATTACATTGTGAATTTTTTTTAATCTAGAGAAGCATGTATTCACTAATATATTTTTTGTGTGTTCTGTAATTTTTTTCATCTTGCTTGATTTTTCTGCAGCTAAATTAGAAAAGTGTACTTTTCCCCCTAAAAAAATGCAATGATGTTCTTTCTCTGATTTTGTCACCTTTCTTCCAGGAAATCCATGTGTTCAAAGTGCTTACTTTCAGTTTGCCCCATAATAAATGGTTGTTTAATCCAAATATATGAGCAGCAAACTGTGCTCATCCTTCTGGAGAAAGTATGGTTGAACAGCTGAGACCACACATCCTGAATGCCTCAGTCTGGTGTAAGGGGAGGACAGCAGATAACTGGATAAGCAGTGTTCCCAAACCATTGCTTCTCCCTGCCACAAATACAGTATGAATGCCCCCTCTGCATACTCAGCTTTAATCCTCAGAGTTTCATCTAGTCCTTTATGTGCAGATATTACTCAAAGTCCACATGGAATGCCAAATTTCCACAGGCCTTCTTGAATTTTTTCACAGTGACTTAAGATCAGAAATAGAACCCAACAGTACTGCAAGACTGCACTGACTCTGATTTCAAAAGCGACTCTACTCTCTACAACCCACGCAAAGTTTGTCTTTACCATCTGCAAACCTTTAGGAGTTACACTGAAGCCTTGGTAAGACTTTATCTTTTGGCCAGGAGTCATGGCTCATGTCTATAATCCCAGCACTTTCAGAGGCTAAAAACTTTCAGGAGGATTGCTTGAGCCCAGGAGTTCGAAACTAGCCTGGGCAACATGGCAAGACTCTTGTCTCTATTTTTTTTAAATAACATTTTTTAAAGTATGATTAAAAGACTGTCTTTCTATTGGCTCTGATCTCCTGATGGTCAGTGTCTCTAGGAATCAGTATCAATAACTTCAGTGGGCACAGTTTCTTTGCTGGTCACATCAACACCAAATTCAATCTTCATATCAACCAGTGTACAGTGCTGGGGGGCAACCAGGATCTCTCCAGAATTTCAAAAACAGCCTGTGTAGCATGACTCATGATATCCACTTCAGTTTTATACCAAGCACAGCAAAGCCAAATTTTGCTGCAATTAGCTGTTCCCTAGACCACTGTGGGTATCATCCTTGAAAAACATGTCCACTTTAGGTGGGTAAAACTCATATCCTTCCTTGACACCAGGATTTCTTTTGAAGTAAGAACCAGTTGCAAACCCATTCAACTGGAATTATTTCACACTAGGACACAATGAAAGCTGTCTCACATTTTCTAGTGAAAGCAGTTTTAATACCTGCTTCCTGTAATAGAAAAATGCAAACTGGTAATTTTTTTTTTTTTTTTTTTTTTTTTTGAGATAGAGTTTCGCTCTTGTTACCCAGGCTGGAGTGCAATGGCACGATCTCGGCTCACCACAACCTCCGCCTCCTAGGTTCAGGCAATTCTCCTGCCTCAGCTTCCCGAGTAGCTGGGATTACAGGCACGCAGCACCGTGCCCAGCTAATTTTTTGTATTTTTAGTAGAGATGGGGTTTCACCATGTTGACCAAGATGGTCTCGATCTCTTGACCTCGTGATCCACCCTCCTCGGCCTCCCAAAGTGCTTGGATTACAGGCTTGAGCCACCGCGCCCGGCCTCCGCAAACTGGTAATTTTATTTGAAATTGCAGCCTTTCCTTCCAGGTGATTCTAACTGCATTTCCTGCTGTAGACTGGTCCTTGGACTGCAGGAGGACTTTTCCTGGCCTATCTACCAAACAATTCATAGACCTCTTGTTTTACCCTCATACAGTTTTTTGCCAATGTTCAGTGCCTCAGCTGTCACCATTATCCTGAGTGGGACGAGAGTTGCACCCATGCTGAGAGGCAGAAATCTCTTGTGAATATTTGATACCTGCTGCTTATTTATTGACAGAGATTCTTACTGTCGCCTAGGCTGAAGTGCATTGATGCAATCTGGCTCTCTGCAGCTTTGACCTCCCAGGCTCAAGCAGAACTCCCATCTCAGCCTCACCAGTGGGTGAGACCACAGGTGTGTGTCAACACACCCAGCTAGTTTTTGTAGTTTTTTGTAGAGATGGGGTTTCACCATGTTGCCCAGGCTGGTCTCAAACTTCTGAGCTCAAGTGATCCACCCACCTTGGCCTCACAAAGTGCTGGGATTACAAGGTGTGAGTCACTGTGCCTGGCCCTGATGCCTCTTTAAAAAGCCAGTCCTGACAGGACGAGTGGCTTATGCCTGCAGTCCCAGCATTTTGGGTGGCCAAGGCAGGAGGATCTTTTGAGCCCAGGAGTTTGATAGTTTAAGTCTAGCCTGGGCAATAAAGATCTTGTCTCAAAAAAGAAGAATGATGGAACACACAGGTGCTATCACAGCATTCTGAAATATTCTATCTGACCTTCATTTGTTAATGGATCATAGAGATTGTTTAAGGAAAAGGTAATTTTTACATTGATCTCAACGTACTGAACTGTTTTAGCTTGGGCTGCCGTAACAAAGTACCATAGACTGGATGACTTAAACCAGGGTTCCCCAACCCCTAGGCCATAGACAGGTACCCATCCATGGCCTGATTGGAGCCAGGCCACACAGTAGGAGGTGAGCAGTGGGTGAGTGAGCATTACTGCCTGAGCTCAACCTCCTGTCAGATCAGTGGCAGCACTAGATTTTCATTGGAACACAAACGCTGTTGTGAACTGTGAATGCAAGGGATTTAGGTTGTACACTCCTTATGAAAATCTAATGCCTGATGATCTGAGGTAGAACAGTTTTATCCTGAAACCATTGCCTTGCTCCACCCATCTGTGGAAAATTTGTCTTCCATAAAACCAGTCCCTGGTGCCAAAAATCTTGGGGACCTCTGGCTTAAACATTTATTTCTTATGGTTCTGGAGGCTGGGAAGTCCAAGATAAGGAGCTAGCAGATTTGGTTCCTGATCAGGGCCCACTCTCTGGTTTGCAGAGGGCTGTCTTCTTGCTATATCCTCACATGGTGGAGAGAAAGTTCTAATCTCTTCCCCTTTATAAGATTACTAATCCCATCATAGGCACCATGACCTCACCTGATTACCCCTCAAAGGCCTCACCTCCGAACACTATAGCATTGGAAGTTAGGGCTTCAATAGATGCATTTTTGGGAGGATGCATTCAGTCCACAACATAAGCTGCATGATTGATGAGACAGTTCTTTATTCTCCTTTAACTTCCAAACACTGCCAGTGATCCTTTACTCTGAGAAATGTCTAGCCAATTTGAGATAAAACACTCGTGCATGAGTCAGGATTCAGATGTATAGGCACTCCATTTTTCTTTTCATTTTTTTGAGATGGAGTCACACTCTGTCACCCAGCCTGGAGTGCAGTGGCAGGATCTCAGCTCTGCAACCTCCACCTCCTGGGTTCAAGCAATTCTCCTGCCTCAGCTTCCTGAGTAGCTGGGGTTACAGGTGCATACCACCGTGCCCAGCTAATTTTGTTTGTAATTTTTAGTAGAGATGGGGGTTTCACCATCTTGGCCAGGCTAGTCTTGAACTCAACCTCTTGATCCACCCACCTTGGACTCCCAAAGTGCTGGGATTACAGGTTTGAGCCACTGCGCCTGGTTCAGTACTCCATTTTTCTTACCTTTCCTTGACTTATTTCTGAATTGTGGAACTCAATTGAATGAAATTGACCAGGAAGAGCAAGAAGAAAGTATTCTTTAACATAGTTTATCATGGACCGTTGCTTTGTTACTGTTAGAAGCACCATTAAGGCAGTGACTTGTTTATATTGTTTTAGGGCAGCTCAGCTCTATAGCTGCTTTACCTTTCATCATCAACAGAAATAAAACTCAGTGCAGGTACTCTTTATTAAGCAATTACTTCTTTCTGATGTACACTAAAAAATGCATTTAGTTACACTGAGATGTTCTTTATTTGTTTCAGATAATATAAAGAAAAATAAACTATCTCTTTTTCAAGGGTCATGATCTCCATAGTAGATGGTTTATAGTAAGTAGCTTTCTCATTTCCTTGGGCAAAAGAAGCTTCAGAATTTTTCTTCCCCAGAGTTTTCTGGGGAAATTGTGACTAAACAGATTTCCAAGTTTTCATGGGCTTCCCACTCCTCACTAAATAACAGTGATAGAGTTTTGAGAAGGACCAAGAGTAGGAAAAAGAGGGTACAAATGGAAACTGAGGATCTTTCATTTGTAATCTCTGTGTAAAATATGTAAGTAAAGAGTAAAAAAATTAGGAGACAAGGGCCTCAGTTGACGATACAATTGATTTGGTTTTGGTTTTTGGTAGAGATGGTGCCAGATGGGTCTTAAACTCCTGGCCTCAAGTGATCCTCCCGCCTCAGCTTCCCACGGTGCTGGGATTACAGGCGTGAGCCGACATGCCCAACCAGCAACAGGTTTTATATACCATGAGAAAGTTAAAGGGAAGTCTAAGAAGATTAAAGCTTTGCTGTTGCTATCTAGAGCTCTTGAAAGCTTCTGCCACTTGTGATCCAAGAACAGGAATGCATGTTGTTTCTGTTTGGGAGCAATACCAAATCTATTTGAGTTTATTTAAACTCGAGCTAGAGGAAAACAGAATCCCCGTTAATTTCAATTTGTGCCTTTTACAGTTTTTTCCTCATTTATTTTATTCAGTGAATTTGTATTACACGTACTCAGTATTGTAAAACTGCCATTTCAGGACAAATAGTTTTGAGTTAAAAGGTTCTAGACATACGGAAAATACAGAGCATTGGCTGCCTGAGACAAGTTCCAAAGTAAAAATGTAAATGTCCCTTGACCCCTCCATTGCCTCCCAGGCTGCATTAGACCCCTTCTGTGGCAAGTGGTAACTGTTTCTTGCTTGTCCCTATCTGCATGTTTGTACTGTATCTGCCAGGACAATGGGATCTCCTTGAGGGCAGGGTCTGTCTTACAGATCTCTGTATGCAGACTAGAGGGTCTCATATCATAATAAATATGTTTAATGAAGTAATCAATCTGATCTCTGATACTTTCATTATCAGTTATTCTCCCTGTTTCAGAAAGACTTTTAATTTCTTAAGAATTTCTTTTAGAAATCATCAGGAGGAATACATAATGTATAATCTCACTTATATGAAGTTCTAGAAGAGGAAAATCTATAGCAGAAAAGAAGAAACAACAGTGGTTCCCTCTGGGAGGATGGGGCACAGGTTCACCGGGAAGGGGCAGGAGAGAACTTGCTGGGGTGATGGTAGTGCTCTATATGTTGACAGCAGTTTGGGTTACACAGGTGTATATGTTTTTGCAAATTTAAGTAATGTGCAGTTAATCCGTGTACTTCATTGTGTGTAAATTTTACAACAAAAAAGTGTTAGACTCTAGTCAATGATATGCATGTGAGGAATTTTAGAAGAATGAATACAGATGTCAGCAATTTAAAATGTATCAAAAATTAAGATGGATGAGGCTGGTCGCAGTGGTTCACACCTATAATCCCAGCACTTGGGGAGGCCGAGGCAGGTGGATCACCTGAGGAGTTTGAGACCAGCCTGGCAAACATGGTAAAGCCCCATCTCTACTAAAAATACAAAAATTAGCTGGGCGTGGTTGTGGGTGCCTATAATCCCAGCTACTTGGGAGGATGAAGCAGGAAAATTTGCTTGAATCTGGGAGATACAGGTTGCAGTGAGCCAAGATGATGCCACTGCACTCCAGCCACTCCAGTCTGGGTGACAGAGAAAGACTCTGTCTCCAAAAATAAATAAATAAATAAATGAAAATTTAAAATAGACTGATGGATAGAGTTAGTTAAGGGACAAAACAAGTAAAATATTAATGGTAAAACCTTGGTAAACAATGTTCACTGTAAAGTTCTTCTAACTTTGCTGTTTGGGTATTTTCATAATAAAATGTTGGGGAAAAGCATTAGGAGAAAAGCTGAAAACTTGAGAAATTCAGTTTAGTTCTTCTAGTATGCTATGGTTGCTATGAAGTTATATCACTGAAATACTTGCTAGAAGGGAACAAGTGGCCTAGAAATTTCTGTGGCCTAGAAATTTACTTGTCTTCCCCACTAGTGATAATGTCAGTTCCCTCCCACTCAGGACTATCCCCTACGGATTGTTTAGACAGACAGGGCTGGTGGCTAAAACAGAGACTAATCTTTCAAACTTTCTTTCTTAAGACTGCCCAGACATAAGGGGTCTACCCACCTCCTAACTAGCAGGGACCAGGCTACCAGGAAAATTATGATTTTTCCTGCAATACACTGCAACTTTTAATAAATGCCAGGAAGTCTTTTTTAATTACATACATTTATTAAATATGCAAGGAAAATACTATTTAGATAATGACTGCTTAAGCATAAAGGAAATGTGTTCAGAACAAATCTGATGCTTTATATTTTAACTTTTAAAAAGTAATCCTTTCACAATTAAATTTGGATCCTTCATTTTACAACAAAAACTAACCTTTTATAGAGAAGGGCTTTAACAAGTAATGTCAACAAAGCATTCTAAAGTACTCATAATTTAAACAACTTTCAAGAAGACATTTTTTTTTTAGATAGGGTCTTGCTTATTGCCCAGGCTGGAGTGCAATGGCACAATCTCAGCTCACTGCAACTCTACCTCCCAGGTTCAAATGCTTCTCCTGCCCCAGCCTCCTGAGTAGTTGGGACTACAAGCATGCACCACCACACCTGGCTAATTTTTTGTATTTTCATTGGAGACAGGGTTTTGCCATATTGGCTAGGCTGATCTTGAACTCCTGACCTCAGGTGATCTGCCTGCCTCAGCCTCCCAAAGTGCTGGGATTACAGACATGAGCCACTGCACCCAGCTCACTGGAAACATCTATTT